TTAACGCATTTCATATTTTAATTTTATGACATTTTATCGATACGCATTTGTCTTTTTTGTGTATTATGTAATATATGTATTCGTATATACAATGGTTGTAGAATAAAATATAATCTGATTAAAATTTATTTGAAGAACTATATAAAAAAACCTTAACTATCATGGCAAGTAAACATTCAACAGACATGATTAATGTCGTGTAATCAATTTACCATTTACGTGAAAATTAAATGTTTGGCATTCATGCATGCCAATATTGATCTTTTTTTTGTATAAATATTTTTTTCAATTTTTAAAAGCAGTAAAATCAAAATTATTATATTCTATGTTACAACCTTGTATAGCATCATTTATTTGTGATATATCCAACGATATCTAGCTTTGATTGTTTGCACCATCAGCTTGAATTTTGATCCAATTTTAATTGCTCAATTATTGAATACAATTTTTCACCTTTGAAATATTTGATTGCATTCATTTGTATTCGAAAATTGCAATTAGGATTCTATAAATGTTGTTCTTGAGAAAAGGTGAAGGCTTTTGTAATAAATGTATATTTATTTAAAAGAGCAAACAACTTTTCCTGGATCAACATTGTAGTTGATGTTCGTAAATTATTATATATTAATTTTTATTGAATTTGACGATATTAATATTTATGTTCTTGCATTTGGTTTTAATTCGTTCAATAAATATCATCTTATTTAACACGTTAACCGCCAGTCAGTCATATGTCATGTGTCTGACACTGTGAAGTTTTACACAAGCCATTTGGTAGTAGATTGAAAAAGTTTTAATTTTAATTTTAAAATTCATTGATTTATTAGATTTTCTTGAAACATTTTTAACTAAATTATCTAATAAAGTCACCATGGCTCATGTTTTTTCTGATATAATCATGGCGATTAACGTGTTAAATATATTATATATAAATATATAAAAATATAAATGTATAAATATATAAATATTATACATATAAATATTACTATCGTCCAATTCTGTTTCACAGGAATGCAGCATTAGCGAAAGCATGAATTCATTTTCATTTTAGGATGTCACAATTTGCAGCCCAAATTATATAATATTTATTTAACGTATTTCTAAAATTGAATTTATTATTAAAGTTAAACAATTTAATTTTTAATAATTCCAGTTAAGGGGGCCTAAGGGTGATAAGGGCGACCGCGGTTACATGGTAAGAATTGTAAATGATGATCCTCTTTTATGTTGGTGGTCGGTTTTTATTAACCCAAGGCAGATTAATAAACTAAATAATGATATTGAACTAATGAAAATATTTAATGATAATATGCTAATTATTTGTAGATTTTTCTAACATTTCCTGATTTCCGTTTAACACGTAGATAATAACTGTTTAGGTATATAACAAACTAATCTACTAATTAACACCGATTGTACTGTTTTTCTAAAAACCCGAAAAATAATGTAGAAGCAAATAATAATTTTTACAAATTTGAAAGATTAGTATTTTTTATTACGAGTTATCATTAAAAAGAAATAACATAGTAAACTTGTACTTTATATTGGCGTGAAATTTATTAAAACATGATTTTGCTGTATACAGTGTCCCAGAACTTCCCAGAACGTCAAGCCGAATGCGGGTGATAGTATTGACCTTAACTATCCTGAAAAAATTAAAAAAAAAATATTGCACATTGTTTCGAGATTGTGATCTTTTAAGTGCAACTTAAGGCTTTGGTGAAATTCTGACTATTTTTAGTTTTTTGTGGTTAATTTTTATTAATTTTGTTCATTAAACTTTGGACCCAGTGAAAATGAATAACACAATTCCTCAAAGTTTTTTCTGTGAAACTATGAAATAAAAACTATAAAAATTTAAAAGTTTTAAATTCATAGCTTAGCAAAAAGTCTTAAATCTTAAAAACTTGGGTCAAAACTTGACAAAATAAAGAACTGATTAAATTTTAGGAAAGGCAGTTCTAGTAGTTTCGGAGATCAAATAAAAAAAGTAAAAAAAATGCCATTTGGAGGTCAAAAATGATTATTAAACACATGCACATCAAATTATAGAGATATAAATAATAATTACAAACTTTGTTTCTATGGAGTCCGTATTTATTAGACTGCGACGCGGCGCTTACGCGCTTTAATATTTTATCTCTAAACAGTTAAAGCAGAGCAATTGCTTTGAAGAAAGTTAAAACTTTTCAAACGTTTTCAAAATATTAAAAACAAATTCAAATTTTTCAAAAAAGTCAATATTTTTTCCAAAACTTCAAAATTCTCAAAAATCTAATTTATTCAAATTTTTCAAAAAAATTCAAAAGCTTTTGTAGAAATTCTAAATTTTTGGTACGAGAAGTTTCAGCAATTTGCCTTAAAGCACGATGCCATACACCACTAGTTCTAAATTTTCTCTGGTCAGTCAAGGTCAATACTATCACCCCGTTTCGGCTTGGCGTTAAATTATGGGACACCTTATATACATGCTATATAACCCGAGCAAAATACATATCTTTCCAAAAATGCGAAGCACATATTACTGTAACAAGTGAAGCTTAATGTTTGAATAAAAAATTGCAATTCTGTTTTGAAAAGTAATCATAAAAATTCATCCGTGTCAAGGCCCTATTTGAACGAAAAAACGTCTTGTGTTTTCAAATATTGAATTATTACCCTCCGGCAAGTCGTGATTGACTCGCACGTGCTCAACTGCTTTTCCAAACCAAAACCATCTCAAATGAAATAATTGAAAACAGTTACTATATTTGTTATGCTATTAAAACTTAAATTAGATTATTTATTATATGAAACATCTCTCTAAAACGATCTTTCGACATGGTCGGCTATTATTTTATTATCCATGTATAATTTGGTTTATGTTGCTGAAGATTGCGATTTAGATTTATATAAATAGATTGATATAACATTTATATGGAAAGATTTACATTTGTATAAAAGGATATGTAAATTGATTCGCATTTTCCATTATTTATATGCAGTCAAATAAATTGACTAAATACAAGCTTATTTTTAGGTTAATCTCTAAAAAAAATATTAATATACATTTTCTTTATTTATTTTCAAGCATATGATGTTTGAGACATTTTATATTTGTTTTAAAAAATTATATTTTGAAGGGAGTGTTATGTATTTCACTTGTATCCAACAAGGAACATCGAAACGTAAATATTTCAATTTTATAGAACATTGCTAATTTTTTTATAATCCGAAAACCCACAATAAGTCTTTTTTTACACTATTCTAAATTTACTGTATTCTAAATTTACTTGACTGTAATATAATTCAAAATTACTTCAGTATAGGTTTATTATTCTTTATGTAGGGGATGTAGGGGCTGTTTGTAACATTTTTTTAAATTAATAAATCTCCTGATCCACTGAATATATTTAAATGAAATAAAAATTAATAGTTGCTGTAACTATTTTTCTACCAAATCAAGATAATCATTTAAACATTATCAAAGTTTAATAAATTAATATTATATGAATTACTCAAAAATTAATTAATTTGGCACGAAATAAGATTTATAAAATTAAAAATCGGTCGATAATAATAGCTTAAACCAAAATTTTATGATAGATAAATTTTATATCGCCTGTCAAAAATGACGCACCTGCACAATTCTGTTTACTGCTTCGGCCTGCGGGACAGTAGCTATGACAATATTATGCAGGACGATTTACATGTCTAATCGAGGCAAAAAATATTTTAATATTTTTCAAGATCCTATTGAAAAACGCCTGTTTTTAGTTACCCCCGTTACATGTAGCCCCTACTGATAAGAAACTTTTTTTAAGCAATTAAAACTTTATGTAGGACTCATTAATATGAGAAAAAAGATATATAAACTATTGTCGTTTTACTAAATATCGAATTAAATAGTAAATCAAACTTAGATAAACATAATTTGATTTTAAGTACAAAATAGTTAACCATTTTTTGAATCCAATAAGATATCTCATGGTCAGTAAATAGAAAATTCAATTTTTAGAACGAAACACGTCGCCGTTTTATATTATATCAGTTTCCTTTTTTTATTGATTTTATTTTGTGTTTTTTTTATCTTTTTTGGTATTATGATAAACTTGATTCGTTTATCACAATCAGCCAAGATATATCATCTATTCTTTCAAATACTTTATAATGCAGTATTTTAGTATAGTGATTTTCATATAATGGGAGACAAATTGTAGTCATACTTTTCAATATAACTAAGTTTGATGCTTCAAAATTACTATGTTTCTTTATGAAATAATCACGATTAAACAACAACAAAAAAAGATATCAATATGCTTTCGTTAACGACAAAATAGTTATTAACTTTTTTTTAGATTAACTCGTTTTGTTGTTCAAGAATTCTTGATGCGCCTCCGGCACGAATGTGCTGTAAACCTTGTCGAAATTACAGTTGAAAATGTTATATTAAAATTAATAATTTTAATTATATTTATTGAATTTAAATTTTAACCACAGCAAACATTTACGAGGGCATGAACTAATATGCATAAATAATAGCAAAATTTGGTATGATACCAAGTACCGTGAAAATTTATTACTCTCGTAAAGTTAGAAGAGCGAGCCGGAAAATTAGTTTTCTTGTTAGAACCAATTTCATTATATTTTGTTTTATTTCCTATTTTAACTAACAGCCCTTTTTACAATTTTTAACTTCCCGGTAAGTTATAGTAATCGCAAAAAAATCCATAATGAAATTTTTTGTATATCTTCACGTTTTGAAGGTTTCTGAACATTTTGGCATACCTTAGGAAAAATGGATGTGTGTATGTTCAGGATGTGTTCTGTGTATGGATACAATTTTTCGTCCACGTTTTCGGGCGTCACGGATCAACCGATTTGAATGGTTCAAAAAATATTCGATTCCTATTGATAGGGATATGTACTGATTAATTTTTGGCAAAAGTCGGTCCAGGCGTTTTGGAGTTACGGAGCAAAGAGTGCAGATAATAGAAATCGAGTTTTTGAGAGTACGGAGCATCCGATTCGGATGATGCAAAAAACATACAATTTGTAGTGATGGGGTGAAGTGATGATTAGTTTTTGGCGGAGGCAGGTTGAGGCGTTTTGGAGATACGGTGTAAAATGTACAAAAAATGGCAGTTTTTGAGAGAAATACGCATTCGATTTGATTGATTCAAATAAATTCCTGCTTGTGTTGAAGAAACGATTGATTGAATTTCTAAATTTTAATTTGGTGTGGGAAGTTCCAGAAATTTGCCTTAAGGCACGATGCCATACACCACTAGTTTGTAATTGCAACTAACAATCTTTTTTTACAATTTTCTTAATATAAATAACATCGAATCTATAACATCTATTCGATAGGTTCAAATTTCGAAGCACTTACTTTCACTAAAGCATCTTGTCGAGCACGTCCATCATGATTTTTCTATATGTAATAACATGGATTTTAATTACCGTTTCCAATTATCTTAAGTGGCTAATCCAATTATGCTGCCACAGATTAATTGATATTAGAAAGATAGATGCAATGGCGTGTATGACGAGAACAATAAAAAAAACAAACAAAAAATGATTGAACAAAATCTCATTTCGTAACGCGACCGCCTTGAGAAATATATAAACTGTAATATATAAATATATAAATATTTATATAATGAATTTTTGTTTATTATACTTATTATATAAAATCAAAGTCTGGGTACGGTTGTGCTACTTTTTTTATCAGCAATAATTTTGTTAATTCACCAGTTAGTTGGGAGGAAAGTAAATTCAATGGCAACTTGAACATTTGTCTCTCTAAAATCAAATCACACAAGAGAAGAGCGAGTTAGACATAAAAAATAGATTAAAAAGCAATAACTATAAACACCAAAATGGTTTATAACGATTTTTATTAAATATCATAAATAAATAGCACAACACAACATAATCATTTAAACAAAGCTTATGAATATAATATAACAATATATAATAAAACATATTTTTTCAAACAAGAAATCTTTGTGAAAACTTTTGTATTGTTGTATTGAATTTTCCTTTCCCTTTCTCTTTCGTATTTTGTCTTACAATTAGTTAAGTTAGATTTTTCTTTATCTGTTTAAATTTCACCCAAAATGGACAAGAAATACATGTCACATAAAACAAAACTAATCGCTGGTAATTATAATTATCGCTGGTAATTATAGTAGTTATAACTACTAATGTTCAACTTACAGCAAAATAGCAATGTGATCTATTTGTACACAAGTAATAGTTACTAATAAAATAAATCGAACAAAAAATCTTACTTTTGGCTCTTTAAAAACATTTCGGTCTACAGATCATGTTAATGTAGGGTGCAGACTCAATTCACTGATGCAAACTTTTTCGAACAAACATACTTCATCTTTTTCCCCTTACCGTATTCTGGAACAACCGTACCCAGTCTTTCCTACTTCATAATAGAATACTAAATAAATTAAATAAAATAATTATATTAGTAAAATACAAACGCACATAGTTATATTAAAGAAATAGTTGTCTAAATTGAACAAAGTACAATCGTGTATGTGAATGTCAATGCTTGTTCAGAAGATCAGCCACATTTTTTTAACACTGACAAATCTAAATTTCTTGGGACGAGCACTAATTATTCTAAAATTGTGCTGATTTCGTTCTATCTGTTCTTTTTGGCATTTGGGATCAGACTATTCTTCATATTTTCCAAATCTACTTATTAATAAAACGCTGCTGCTGGAAATTAGTAAACGTAATGCACATCTTTATAAAAACTTGAATATATTTTTGAAATATTGGCGGATATAATATTAATACTGTAACTTTTATATTTTCAAAAATATAAATTATTTTAGTAGCTGTTTTGTCTATATTAATTTAGTATTTGTTGACTTATTAAATATTATCCGATAACCAGTCTTCATATATTATATGCAAGCCACAAATAAAGTCGAACTGTCATCTTAGTAAATTTTAATATTGATATTGAATAAATTATTAACTCATCAAAATTTTGCAAATTTGTTATCTATATCAATAAATTTTAGCAGTGTATTTTCTCATTGGCTTTGTGTTAAAAAATTAAATATAAATGTTTCTTAATAGTAATGTGTAAGTTTTATTTATTTTTTTATTCTATTTATTGAATTACAATCTATCTTTACAAAAAGGAAGACATTCAGTAATTTTGATGATATATGAAATATTAAACATTAGATCTAAAAGGTTACCCAGTAGTAAGCCTTTTCAATTTTGATATATTAAATTTAAATTTTGTGATTATATATAGAGTAAACTTCAAAATAAAAAGATCTAAATCTAGAGTAAACTTAAAAATAAAAAGATAAATGAGTATAAATTGTGGATTATAACAACAAATAAAAAAGTAATGTGTAAGTAATACATAAATCAAGGTAATATTTTGGTCGAACAAATTATTGGAAGTTTTTTATACTTTATTAGTAACAATCCTGTTTAACAGTTACAAAGCTGTTATCGACCATTACCTATAGCGCGTTGAAACTATAACATATTTCTTATTTTTTTTCAAATTTTCCAAGCAAATATTTGCTTTAGTATGTAATAAATAACACAACGTTCAAGAAAATTCAAGAAGACATATTAGGATATTGGGCTCACATTACCTCCCAGTGAAGCTTTTAATATAAGAATACTATTTAATCGTTCACTCACACTCAAGCAATTTTTTGCTATGATTTGTTTTTATTTTCTAATACTAAATTGCAGTAATTATTTTGAAACCAGCAAAATTTTGGTAATTAGAAGACCATCCAATGGAACAAATTCTATTTTTGTAATATGTGCGAACAAATTCTATTTTTGTAACATAATAATAAAAGTATATGAGTAACAATTATACTAAGATAAAAATATAACAAATTAAAGTAAAGAACATCAACATTATTGATAGTGAAGATAGTAAACGGTTTGCTAAGATGACGTAGGTCTATCAAGGGTTTTTAACAAAATGTTTCTAATATTTTCAAACATTTAAAATTTATTTAATGTGTGCATTTTTGACGTTAATACTGATTCGTAGCAGCAACGATTACAATTCTACTATAATATATGATGTGAAGAAATATAATAACGATACAAAAAACTTCAATAAAACGGTGGCTGTTCTTTTGTTGCAGGGACTCGGCGGTATTCGAGGTTACCCCGGATTTCCGGTTTGTTGTATAAAGAATTAAGAAAAATATATATTATATAAATATAAATATAAATATTATATATATATATATATATATAATGAAAATAATGAAAATAATGAAAAATATGGTGAACGGAGAGAATATCTTTGCAAAGACTGCACTTATTTTGGCACCTCTTAATAAATAATATTGAATTTACGAACGTTTCAGGACTATGGGTTGTATCATCATCAGTTTAAATTTATATAAATAATTTAATTTCCTTAAAAAATTGCATTGTTTAATAGTATATCATTACCATGAGACTTATTCGAATGGTTTGTTCTAACCAATATATAATTCCCTTACTCAGAAAAAAAAAATTAAAGCCGTGGTTTCCAAACTTTGGGCGCGAGGTTGTTGCAAAAAGGGCGTACATCTACTTCCAAAATAGTATTTCAAAAAAATAAAGCAAAAAATGAATGAATAAATAATACTTTTTATATATATTTTGACATAATATGTTATATTAATTTGTAGCCTAGTAAATGAATTGTAATATCATTTGAGTATTTATAAAATTATATTGTTTGAAAAATTAAGTGGGGCACAGCAATATTTTTAAAAAAACGAAACCACTGAACTAAGGATTGAGATCAAGCAAACTAGTATCTAATTCTCTTTTTTTTAAATATTATTTCGGTTTTATATATTTTTTTTGGTCAAAAAGTAACTGTAAATAATTTTTGGAGTATTTATTTTGGCACATATGTAAAAATTGTGGATATACTTAGTTAAAAAGGTAAATTATACTACATTTTTGAATATGAATCATGCAAAAATTTATCAGTCTATTAATATTATATATAATAGAGGCTATTAATATTAATTATATTCAGCTATGTTCTCTTTTTTAGTTTATGTTTTCTACAAAAAAATCCGATTCGCTAATTTTATGTTTTCTCGTTCAATTATATTTTGTATTAAATTTTATTCCAGGGAAAAGTTTGTGAGCTTCGTTGCTATATTCATAAATTTATAAGTATGATACTGAGCCAAACTAATGCCTCAAAACTGTTTGTAAATTTAATATTGTTTAATAAATAGTACAAAAAAGTGCAGTGAGCTCATAGGTCCAAATATATTATTTAAATGTATATTATATATATATATAGTATATATATATATATATATATATATATAATAAAGGTTTATATTTTTCTTTGCCGTATTTTAAATTTAATAAAAATTACTTTGACATTATTGCTTATATACAGAATATGAAAATAAACGGAATACTTTATTTCTTTATATTAAACTCAAAGTTAATGCACATAATATGACGGTATTGTCTCGAGACATTCGACAAAGAATAGAGAAAATTAAAACGAAAGGTTATTTTTTATCATTGAAATTAATATAAACAACACAAACTTATTATATATAGCAGAAAATTTGTTGAATAAGACATTAATTAATATTGACAATTTTTTATTTATGCTTTTCGAAACTTGCGATGGATCATTATTCAGCAAATCTAAAATAAATGCAAAAAAAATTACAATGATTGAAAAGTTTAATGAATTTTTTTAATTATTTTGTAAACAATATTATGCATCATATCAGGACAAGGCTAAAACATTTTTTTAAACAACATTTTAATTAGCAGTGAATCGCCAAAACAACGATGATTGTAAAATAAATATTGAAAACTATAACATTCACAAAATTTGGATAAAATGATGTAACATAACCCATTATTTTCAATGAAATGTATCACTATTGATGGCACATATCATGTCTCAAAACGTACAAATGAAGAATTGTCCATATTAATTATTTTTTTAATTCGACTAATTAATATATATATATATATATATATATATATATATATATTATTTGCAAATTGCTTTCATATAATTATACATATTCATGCATTTTGTTTAAAGTAGTATTGTTCTTGTATGCTAGTATGTTACAAATTAGTTGTAAGTCACACTTAAGATTTAGCTCGAATTTATTTTACATAATATATTTTTAATAAGTTGCTGCAGTGAAACAAGCATGTGATTTTTATTTCAATTATATACTGTGCATTTTTTTTAAAGTTGTTTGCAATAAATTACATAATTAATTGAAAATATAAATCATTAATCATATATTGCACATCTAGATCTAAAGAATGGTAAATCAGACAAGTTTTATATATAGAACTAAAAAAATACGCTATATAATATATAGTATATATACTAATATTACTTAGTTTTAGTTACACTAGAGTTAATAAATAATAAAAAAATTTAATTAGTATTTGTTTAGTTCTAGATGTGCATTATTACACAAGCATAAGAAATGTACAGTTACAAGTGCATCAAAGTACATAAAAAATAGTATTAAATAGTAATGATGAATAGTATATTAAAAACAGTAGTTAATTATGATATTTTGAATTGAATGTATCAAATTGTTGTTTTACAGGGTCCTATTGGTTTGGATGGTCCAAAAGGGGATCCGGTAAGTTAATATAATATTTAATGATTGTAATTTTATAGTATTACATGAGTAATTTATTCAGTAATAGTAGGCATTCCTCTTTTATATATCAAATTCCACAATTTATACCATACCTTTCACTGTTCCTTTATCACTATATGAATTTCAAAAATTAAAGCAAAATTTCTTTTTTCTTTGAAATTTATAGAAAAAGGTTTATTTTATCAACTTATGTCCTTATTATTTCAAAACTCCTTAAATAATATTTGCCTATGTTTTTCAATCATCTTTGATAATAAGTTCAAATGATTTTTTCCAAAATAAATAGAAATCAAAATTGTTTTTTAGGGCCGACCTGGAGAGAAGGGCCAAAAGGGCGATATTGGCAATCCAAGGTTTGATGTGTTCTCCACAGTAAAGGTAATAATATTATGATTATTATATATTAAAAAAAAATCTACACCATAACTGAAAATCGTTGTTGTGGTTTTTGTTATGAGTTGCTGTTTTAGTGTTTATTTGAATAATTGGGACTTGAAATTATATTGTATCATGATGGTTTAGTTCAATGGAAGACGATATGTTGAATTTAAGGATGAAGAGACCTATGTATAAATATAATAATAATTATTAAATTAAATTATACGTAATAAATAATACGTATATAACAAATAACATAACTATCAATTAAAAATAAAACTATTTTATTTTTGTATAAGTATCGCTAATGAAATTTATTACAAAATTCTAAAAATCTCTCGTCGCAATATCTAGAATGTCAAAAAACTAACAAGTTTTCAAAATCTAGAGAAATATTGTTTGATATACACTTATTTTACGTTTGGCAGGATTTATTTTAAAAATCTCATGTCAATTCTAAATTAATTTTTATATAAAATAATGTCAAAAAATTAACAATTGCTCAAAATCTGGAAAAAAATATTTTAAGTACCACCTACCATAGTTGTACAATGCTTGTTTTAAAAATCTCTTGTCAATCTTATATTAATGATTGTATAAACATAACGTCAAAAAATAACAGATTTTTTAAATTTGTACATTAGGCTTATCTTATGAGATTTTTTTTCTTAAATATAGCATTCAAAATACAATGAAATCATATAAATTTTTCATAAGTTAAATGAAAAAAAGAACAATAAATTTATGAGATTTTTTACTCGTTTCTTTACTTTATGTTTCAATCTATTAGCTGCTACGTCATATAAAAAATTTAAAATCGATGATTTCATGTTTTAGATTAATATATTTTCATTCTTTATAAATATATTTTGTATTTTTTGCATAACTTAAGGGTAAATGAACCAATGTTATAGAAGGTTATGTTATGTAGCACCAGTTTATACCAGTTTTTATATAAAGTGGTACTAAAAACTGGCAAAATTCTATGTGATTGCTGTGCACTCAGGCGTTTTAGATAAAAAATCTAACCTACAAAACAAACACTACAAACACAACATATAATCAAAACGATGTTATCATAACAGGTTTTTTGAGATATGATTGATAACATATGAGTGAAGTTGCACTTTATGTTGAAAACGTCTGATCGCACTGCAAATTCATGGCATTTTGATAGTGATTAGTAGCATTCTGTATGAAAACTGGAACGTTACATAGCCTTGCCATAACATTCGTCTGTTTTACGGTAGAATCGGCCGATAAGATTAGAATTGATAACTGCGAAGACATAATTAAAAATCGTTATTGATTTAGACTCTACCAACTAATGATTTATTTAATTTAAAATTTATTTAGCGTTTTATTTAATAGTAATACAACTGCGTACAATATTATATTTATTTAGCAACTTGTTCAGATAAAAATTTTGATTAACTAAAGTAAATATGGAGAGATCTCAATTATAATAGCAAATCTATTTTCGGAAAGATTTATTTAGTTTGACCCACATGGTTTGTGTTTGTATTATTTTTATGGCTTACATGAAGCTGTATATTCAGCGTAGACAATACAATATTAAAATAGTTCCTCAACTTAATCACCTACCACAAGGCGAACGAGTTGCCGGATGCAGAGCAAGTGCGCCACTTTTTTATTTATACTTTAGTTAAAATGGTAATGAAATTTTTTTATGTTGAAATAACTCATTACAGGTATATATGTATATACATTAGGGCGGGTCGGTTTTAAGGTCACTTAGGCACATATGATTTTTGGGTACTAGGAATCAAAATATCATACCTCTAAAATGAATTATGATGTCGCGTGCATTGACTCCAAGATAAGGGTTAAATTTTGAAAAATCTGACATGGAGGGTCCCGAGTGATGAACCACGGGCATGGGTGGATTGGTCTGCCAAAGTTTGTGGGGGTCTATCATACATGGGACACTCTAAATGGGTCAAAATGGAATTTTTCAAATTTTAACCTTCATTTTTGGGTGAATGCACGGAACATCAGAATTCATTTCAGAGATATGGTTTCTTCGGCAAAGTATCTTATTTTGATCTCTAGTATCCAAAAATCATATGTGCATAAGTGACCTTAAAATTGACTCAGCCTAATGTATATACATATATACCTGTAATGAGTTATTATCATATGAATCAATTCTTTTAATCACAATTGCGTACATTTAGTAAAAACTTCATTATTCGATTATATGTAATACTTTTTTATCTATGATATTATATCTTACATTTTTTATTTATATGTTTCTTTTGCTTTTGAGCCTTGCATAAAATTCTATTCAATTTTCTTCATAATTAATTTGAAAAAATTGTCTGTTTATTCCTACAATTTTAGTTAATTTACCTTTTAATTTTCGGGACAAAAGGTCTAAATCCGGGACAAATATTGCTTTTAGAAAAATTTATTTATAGAATAACAAAAATAGCAATATAATTATTTAGTATTTTATTTAATGTGTTATTTTACAAAAAAAAGATTCAATCGTTATTTCAAATTCTTCTTACGATTTGCGTTCATAGTACTAGTTTAGTATCGGACGGTGAAGAAAGTAATTATTTTTTTGCGCTGAATTAAAATTCTACAGAGATCTAAATTCTCTAAATCTGGTTAAAATCAACATGACCATTTGGAATTCTGTCCTCGTTTCAAATTTAGCTTTTATATTATGCAATAAACGTACGCTTTTGGCGTCTTGGCTTTTGAGAGACCACAATGTAGAGTGTTGACTATTATATATATAATACTTCTACATCGATTGATTGAACTTATGAGCAAAGATGTTAGTAATAAATGAAAAGAATTTTTAAACTAGTATTTATAACAATAATAAAAAGTATAGCGTACTAATGTACTTATTTATTTCTATACGGCTTGGTTTTGATATGCTTCAAAAATTAAAATGACCATTAATTAAATCATTTTTTACTAATAATATTACTTCACTTAATAACTAAAAAAAATTTTGGAAACAGAACATTCTAAAACTATTAATTTTTTGTGTTTCCATACGTCTTGGCTTAAATTTGTTCTAAAAATTGATTTGGCCATTGATTGTTATTATGATAAATGTAAGGCTTTACAAAAATTTAAATAAGTGCTTGGTATATTCAATACATTTATAGCGAAATGCAAAAATGTATGGACTAATAATACTACAGTGATACCCGCATAACAAAGTTTTTTTTCGGTTTCGAATGTTCCACATAACGAACTTTGCTTCACACAGCGTCCTAAATCGTTGTCAATTGTAGTCAAAAAACATATGTTACTCAAATTAATTTAAAGAGTAGACCTTGGAAATTTTTGCTTAGAAAATATACTTGGAAAAAACTATCGACAGTTTCTTTAAAAATTCTGAAGCTAAAAGAGCACAAAAAAGCAGCATGACTCTGATAGTAACTTATTTTAGTAATCAGTAATATTTTTTTACATGTCTTAATCATATGTAAAATATATCTTACTTTCTATGACCACATTTCAAACTACAGAACGAATTAATTTTATTTTCATGTATTTGCATGGGAAAACGCGTTTCGGATAGCGAACTTTTCGCACAACTCCCGGAACGAAATAAGTACGTAATGCGGGGTATAGCGTACTTCATTAATTGACAAAATAAAATTTTGTAAACAAAACATAAAGCGCAAAATTTATTCATTGATGAACTGTTTTGCCATTTTGCACGTTAATTCGGTACGTCGAAAAGGAGCTGAGTACCAATTATGAACATCGACCAGGGTTTATTCTGGATTTTAAGTACTATTCTCATTACCTACAAATATCGGAAATGATTATATGAGAATTGTACATAATAGTTGTACATAGTAGTCGACCTATAATAGTATTAGATATTATTGTGATTAGGTATTATACTTAGTAATACACGATCAGCATTTAAAGTCAAATTGAACATAACCGCATCGCCGTTGCTAAAGCATCATGAAACAATAATATTTCATGTGACCATCGAAGTCCCATATGGTGACATGAACATGTTGATATCGTTAAGTATTTTGAAGCCATGATGATATGCTAGAATATTAATATATTTTCTTGTGTGAATGAGCAAACTATAGCTTCCAGCTATATTGTATAGATCTATTAACGAATTTCAGGGTCTAAAGCGATCCGTGACAACGCTGCGGGGCGGCACATTGGGATACGCGGAAATTGTCGCCGTTAAGGTACCCCTTGCTTCCTTCCTGAAACAGACATAATATTCTTCCTGCGAACAATATCCTTTGCTGATCCTAGACCAAAGATAGATATATACCGAAAATACATTTGTTTCGATAATGATATTGAGTAGTAAACTCATGTCATAAAACATCTGCGAATAAACGGAATCTAGTTACATTCACTTATATATAATTCACCTATATATAATTTTTAGAAATATCAACACATTGCCCTCCTTCTTGCAATATTTATTTTCTCATCTTCTGTAAGAATATATATATAATATATATATTCTTACTGAAGTATACAAAGTTTTTCAGAAATGTGACCATATTTAATATTTTAATCAAAATTTAATTATATATATATATTTATTATTTATTTAATTCTAGTCTCTACTACCTTTCCTATCTTTTATATTTGGTTTGTTGTTAAGTGTTGCTGTTTGTTAATTTTTCTCTTATTGTATAGTTACTTTACCAATCCACATATATTATAATTACCTAGATATGCTAATTTTCATACTGTTTTTAGATCCACTGATGATGACATTAAATTGAATGTCGAAACGTTTGGAAATAAAAATTATTTTATAAATCTTTGGCTTTTCTTTGTTTGATGTATCGCCCTCAAGAACTCACTCATATATATATATATATATATATATATATATATATATGTATATATATATTTAAATTTTGATCAAAATATTAAATATGATCACATTTTTCAAAAACTTCGTTTACAACTTATATACAATGCGTAACAATGTTTAATTTAAATTATTTATTTATATTTACACTGACAAAGAGGCAAACTTACGAAATTGAGTCAATTTTGTTTAATTTTTTGATAATATAAAAAGTGTGAAACTTAAAAATATGAGGTTCTTGAAAACAATATTCGAAAAATTATTGGTGAAGTATCTACGAGGTTGTCAGTTTTTGACTCTATAACCTTCTATTTTCTGTTTTTTTTTAGTTGCAAAGTATGGAACTCAGTAGGACATTGTAATATTTACACTTTTTAAAAATATTATTTATTTATATTTACTTTAAAGGTGAGTCAAACCTAGTCTTGAACTGTACGTTACTTTAATATTATTCAATAAATAGTGAAAAAGGAGTGCAATTCCAAATAATATTTTTTCTACTTAAAATACTTTTGACACTGTATATATATATATATATATCACCAATAGTAGAGATTTTTTAGAATCGATTTTATCGCCTATACTATAATAATGCTAATCGAGTTATTTTTTATAATATTAACTATATGTTTTGATAAGGGGTTGAATTATTAAACAGCATCATAACGTCTCTATTTCTTTAGTTTTTTATGCGTTATTGATTCTATCTCTATTTCAGATATTAATCATTTTTATGTGGAAGTTTTATCTTTTTTAACGTTTTTTACATTAAGGGTTTATACAGAATATTTTGTAAACATTTTGTTGCCGTCTATTTGTCATTCTTACTACCGCAATAGAAATAATTTTGTGAACCATTTATTGTAAATCTTAATGAAAAAACAGAGCAAGTTAAATATTATTTTATTACATATTTATACGGATTCATACCTTTACCTCGACGAGTTCGATTTGTGTTTCATCTGTAGTATTCAAGACGAGTGCTGCCATTTTCCAATGTTTGATTAATAAATTTATTTCTGAAATATTGATGGACAAGATATAATATATATATATATATATATATATATATATATCTTGGAAATATCAGGATAATATTTATTACTTCAAACACGTTTATATTATTCCTTCGAATGCCGCCGAGGGAAGTTTATAGCAAGAAGTAAGCAAACAAACGCTAATTTACATATCATTTATATTGCATGAGAAATTTATCATGCGCTCTGATTATATTTATTACTGAATTCTGTTTATCTAACAGACAATTATTCATTATGGCAGTACGTACGAACAGAATTTGGATATGTATATATATATATATATATATATATATATATATATATACTAGGGTGGTCCTTAATAAGCGCATTTTCGAATTTCCTTGCTCCCAAGGGCTCAAATGGTTCCAAATTTCAACACAAAACAATTCTCTCATAGTTTTAGCTCTTAATATTGACTTTTAGATAGAGCGCAATTCAATCAAACTTCGTATAGAAATAGCATAAAAAAATTTTTGAAAATTAAAAAAAAAATTTTTTAGGTATAACTTAGCGTATAAAAGTGAAAATTTGTGTCATTTTTATTGAAAATTCGACGCTCTGCAAAATTCGAAAGGAAATTCGAAAATGTCTATATTAAGGACCACCCTAATGTATGCATACAGGGTGTTCCAAACTTTGAAGCCTAACCGAAACGTCGTTGAAATTGTCAGCATTGAAACAAAATTCTTAAATGTTTTTCATTTACAATCAGAAACATTAGCATAATTGCCTCAAGTTTTCAAGAATTAATACATTTTGTTGATGAATTTAAAATTTATAAAATCGGTCGACTTTGAGAGGCTCTTATTAAGAATTTTTTCCTAAAATTTGTTGGCAAGTTTTATCAAAAGTTGGCACATTCATTGTAAAATGGTAAAATACCTGAAAAGTAAAAAAATAAAAACTATTTTGCTATATATATATATATATATATATATATATTATATATATATATTTAATTGGTATTTATCTTGGTCAATCCTTTTATCATCCCTAATCAATTTTCCAATTTCTTTCCAAAACTTTAGTATTTTATAGGTGTCGTTAAGCAATATATTTTGTTCATGATAAAAACATTTTGAAAGAAATATTTTTAAAATGCTTTTTATTAATTTATTCATACATTTTGTTATAATATTAATACCTAAAAATATTACATTTTATCAATCAATGTGAATCATGAGCAAAATTTATTTTTATTCATCTACATGTGATGTGTACATTTTTTGTGAAAGGTTATAATTATTTGCGATAATTTTTATCATTTCTAGTATATTTTGTATTTTAGATATTTTGTGTTTCAGGTGTTAGTGGATCTACTAAAGCATGTTTATTATATATATATTTTATGTGTATTTATGTGTTATTACATTTTTATATTAGATTGTACATCTATATATTTATTATATATTTATATTTTATTATATATAATTTTATTTTGTTTGACCTATTAACAACCAATACTGGTTTGTGTGCGGTTTATAAAATGAGTGGTAACAAAATTAAAAAACAGACTTGAAAACAAACAACTTTTATAAAGAATTTTTAAATTTAAATTATTTTCTTGCAAAATTTACAACAATTCTAAGCTGTACATAACGTTATTCTTGATTCTCTAATTTTTTTTTATTAATTCTCATACGATATAAAATATAAATACCCTGTTTTTTATATAAATAAAATCTTAATATTTTAATATAAAATTACTTATAAATTTTTATTTTTTAGTACTTTAATTTGAAATCATTATTTATTTAACATATTTGTTAGTAATGAAATATCTTACTTAAAAATATTTTTTCACCAAAAAATAATTAAATTTTATTATTAAATTTTAAAATTTTATTTGGCTATTTTTATAATATTGTACTGATTATTTTGTCGTTTTTCGGGAAGAAAACGTATAAATAAATATATGAAAGATATTTCCACTTTTGGTTCAGGTAGCTGATACATCCGCAGGCGCTGGCATTTTGAACAAATTTTTCGCGTATAATTTTGTTTTTTAAATATTATTTTGGGCAATATACTCAACATTGTATGTTATTTTAGGGACTTCAAGCCAAAGGCATAAACGTTACTGCCGAAACTTTAGTAACGCTCAAAGTAAGTCCGAAAACCGCTTATTTGAAAACAGAAAGGCAACTACTAACTATAAAATAACCGATGAAAATAATTATTACTGGTTCATGAATTAACAAAGATAAATCATAAGCATCTTTCTAACTAACAGTCTATATTAATTATTTCTACTCTATATATTTTTTATATTTAATATTGGGTGTTTAGTCAGCAAGCAACATGTTAACTAAAACTCTATATTAATCACATTATTCATCTGCATAGAAATCATAATAATAAATATCATCAAAATTATCTATAAAGTCACATCAAATAAAAAATAAGTTTCTTATTAAACGACAAAAGCATATTAAAATTAAGGGGAAGTTTTAATTGATGTTAGAAAATTGTCAATACACTACTCCTAAAATTTTTGGTATAAGGTTTTTTGCCATTTGTATTGACAATATGAAGAATTTTTGAAAAAGCAGGTTTAGAGGTTTCGGAGATCCAATAAAAAATGTTTAAAAAAATGTCATTTGGCGGTGAACAATGATTATTAGACATATGCATATCCACTTATCAGATATTTTATAGAAATTTTAATAAATAGTGCAAATTTTGTTCACATTTCTATGGGTTCCTATGGCGACGCGGCGCTTTCGCGCTTCTATATTGCGACTTTAAAACAGCTACGCAGCTGGATCACTGGCTAAAATTCAAAAATATTCAAAATTTTCAAAAAGTTACACTATTTTCATATTATCAAATCTGTTGAAAAAAATCAAAATTTTCAAGAGTCTCAAAATTTTTTTTTTCAAAATTTTCAAAAAAATTTAAAGCTTTTAAAAATTTTAAATTTTGATCGGTTTGTGATGAAATGATTTTTTTCAAAACTAGTGGTACATGGCATTGTGCATTAAGGCAAATTGCTAGAACTTTCTGTATCAAAATTTAAAATTTTTAAAAGCTTCAAATTTTTTTGAAAATTTTGAAAAGAAATTTTTTTTTGAGACTTGAAAATTTTGATGAATTTTGAATTTTTTCTTCAAATATGAAAATAGTGTAATTTTTGAAAATTTTGAGTATTTAGTATTAGAGATGCATAGTATAAAAATTTCAAGTAACACCATTTTGATTATGTAGGTAATCGTTTTTATCCTTGTGTGAGTAGATCTTATCAAAATCAATTGAAAGAAAATTAATCTCATCTTTTTTATCAAATTTGTATTTTGATGTTTCAATCATTTAAAATTGCCTAGAGGCGTATTTCTACCATATATAAATCACGCCCATTTTATAACGAGTTATTCAACTTGCAAGATTGATGGACAAACTCCAGAACTTTGTACAATGCATCTATGCAGTTATTCAAGGTGGACTATAGAGAAAGTTTTTGGATGAATGAAATGTCAATTTTCATTATTTGTTTTTAATTAATTATAAAGATTGGATACTATATTTCAATAATTTCTCCTTCTATATATTTTCATCTTACAAACGAATAATTATATTTCAATTGTTTTTTTAATCCATAAAATAAATATTCAATACATATTACAATTTCAAAAATATCCGCACAATCTCAGTATACAAATTTTGATTAGTTACTTGATGATGTACCATTACACGTGGATATAAATTTTAATAATTTCTGGTTTGAAATTGAAAATGAGTTTCCTCTTTATCTCTCTATGTGTAAAAATAAAATGTATGAAAGTATATTATTTCATATATATATATATATATATATATATATATTTATATATATTATCCGTAATTTGAATAAACGATTTAATAACACGTGAGAGGATGTTTTTGGATGCCACGTTGTTATGGCTGGGTCTTCACGTCAATACATGGGTTTTAAAATTATTTTTAAATTATGTGTAAACTCTTTTAAATAATTGAAATAATTATTTTTTACTGCATCAAGTTTAAAATCATATATAAATATATTTCATTTTTTAATATAAATATACTAATAATAATAAGTGGCTAATGCATCTACTTGCTGATAAGGCCAATAGACCAATATAAAAATAGAAGTGTAAATCTTTATTTTCAACCCATAATTTTATGTTTTTGTGTTTTTATTTACCGACTATAATTAAAATGGCATATGGCATCGTTTATATTTTGATTATCTCTATTTATTGAAACATAGAATTTTTGTAACGGGTGGTCCATCTAGTGGTCCTTTTAGATATTTCTGTGAAGAAAACATATAAACTATAAAGTATTATACATCGTTAGAAAGGTTTCTTAGTTTTCAATTCTTAGTTTTTTCCCATATATCGCAACTTCGAATTTCGCTCGGTATGGCCTACAGGCAAGTTGCTATTGATAAAATCCAATTTTCAAATGGGCCACTCTATAGTTTTTTTTATAGAGGCGAATTATAAATTTAGTGGAAAATGAAACTAAATCTTTAGAATCATTGTTGCCGTTGATGATATATATGGTGACATCATAAAGTTAGAAGTTATGAAGTTCTACTTAGTTTATAAAATCTACAGGTTAACTTATTTTCAAATCTAGAATATAATTTATAAGAGAAATATTCTTGAATGAGATATATTATATCAAACAACAATAATTTGTGCTTTAAAATTTCATTGTTAGGTAAATACCATTAAACCATTTGTTTACAATAAGTTTCAACTATGTATTTAGGATTTAAATTCAATTGTATGCCAATTGCTTGTGAAAATTTATTTATTTACCACTATTTAATTTAGAAATTGTTTTATTCATAAAACCAAAAAAAAATGCGAATTTTACCTATATCTATAACAACCTTGTATGATCGTATACTATTTACTTCTTCTTTAATTTATTTGTATTAGAATTACATTTTATAGCTTAAATACACTTTCATACTATGAAATATCCATGTTAATGTCTTCTACTAATTGTAAACTATTTTTAATTCTTCTTGGGGAAAGACAATTCATAGATCAACTTGGCGCCAACTCCAATGTAATGTTTAAATCCAATATAATGTTTAAATTTAATGTTTTGTACTACTACTTGGACTGCCCTTATTTATTTTTAAAGTAATATTTATTCAATCTGTTACATATGAAAAATAAATAATTCGAGGCACATGTTTAATTTAATATTTATTTATTTATAATTCTCAATAAATTTTTCTCAACTTTTTACTTTGCACTGCTAATAAAGTTATTAGTTCTCACATCACGTTCAATCGATGCCCAATATTCTGATTCATGAAAGAATATTTTTTCGATGAAAACCTATATTAAAAAAAAAACTAGAAAAACTTTGTCACTAAAAATTTTCAATATTTAGTTTATATTAAGAATTGTTATTTAAGTTAATATACTAGTTGAGGAGGAAAACAACGATCAATAATCTTTTCTGAAATCAACATATAACATTATGACAAATTGTTGGACTTATTTGCATGTTTTTATATTCTGATTACACCAAACATGTTGTTGAACCTTTTGTTTTATTTTTAAAAGTCATATTTCATCCATTGCATCTTGAAAAATAGCATGATTTGAATGATTATGGAATGTTAAATTTACTTACTAATTATGCATATACTATATAATTTTAATACCATTACAAAATGATTAAATCATGTTCATTTCAAACTCATACGCTTGACTTGTACATTTTTTAATCATTTAATTTTGCAAGTAATAAGGTATCACATAATTAAATTGATTCAATATAATTAATTGGGATTATGCATTTAATTTTAATAAAGCTAAATATTTTAACGGTACTAATTTTGCTAATTAAATTACTATTATTAATACTATATTGACACAAAGTTGTGACTCTAATAATATTTTTCACAAATAGATTATAGGTTGATAATTCTATATTTGAAAATTGTTTTTTATTTAAATATTTAATTACTATGTTTAAAATTCACAATTTTTAAACGCAAGAAGACATTGCAAACAATTAAATCCATTTAAAATGCGGAATATTAACTCAATTTGGTAAGAAGACAGACCACAAATGTATACGTTATATTTTTAAAATAATGTTTATTAATATTATATAATGTTTTCCAGTTATTTCGTATTCAGCAAGCAAAAACTTTGTCAAAAAGTTTAGAATCAAACGTGAAATTTTAATTGATACCTTAATACTTCACCTAATTACTAATACTTAATTTACTAACCTTGAATGTTATCGTCGTTATCATTCACTAATTTATGTAATCATCATTAATTTATTTTATGTGCAACCATTTAACTTATTCTTGTTATTTGTTTTTCACACTAGGGCGAACCTGGAGAGCCTGGTCCACCAGGACCAGCAGGACCTCCGGGAGCTGAAGGATTACCAGGACAAGACGGTAGACCAGGACCGCCTGGCGAACAGGGTCCGCCAGGAGAAAGAGGTCTTCAGGGTGTTGCGGGTCCGCAAGGGCCTTCTGGTACACCAGGATTGCCAGGACTTGCCGTAAGTTTGAGAAACGATTTTGAGTTTTTGAAGTAAAACTTCTTTAGACGCGACTAGGTTGTAAATCCGTACAAATGCAACGGAAGTGCATTACGGCAGATAAGATAAGATAAGAGTCGAGTGCGAATGATACGTCATTCGCTCTCGGTGATACCATTTCTATACGGGCCGATTGTGATTAGTCGTCGCGTATGTGAATAGAGATCTGTCGTTGTATGCGTACCGGCGTCAACGTTGTATGCGTACCGATATCAACAAGGAAATTAGCATAGATAAATAAACATTTTAAAGTTACATCGTAGTACAAATCTTCATTTAATGAAAAATGCCTGAATCAGAAGAATATTTTACCCTGTCCCCCGTAAATAATTATAATGAAAATAATAAAACAAATGCAGCATGTGAAGTTGCGAAAACAACATTTGTTCAGGCGTTGTTTAACATAATCCACTGTGTGAACGAATATTATAGAAGTTATTAATCAGCAATTACTTCATTTCTCTAATGAAGGTTCATTTCTAAATGCTAATTACAATGACAAACCGATCATGTCATATTCAAAGTATGACTTTAATTACATTATTGTTTTTAAATATTATACATATTTTAATGCTATTTTAAATATATAATTTATAATTTAGCATTATATGAATGTGTATAATGGTTGACACTAATAAATGTGTGCATCACGAGTGTTACCATATTACTAATAAACATTATTTAAAATTGTTATATGATGTATTTATTTTAACTTAAATGCCATCTTGTACAGTAGCAAATAAGTTTTACTTCAATCGCGCGTGAACCTTACGCGCACCCTTTTTTCGTGGACTTTCTTTCTATATGCATATGTTTTTTTTTAATTTTCAGGGTGAAAAGGGAGATAAAGGCGACCGAGGTTTAACGACTACTTTGAAAGGTGACCAATTCCCTACTGGTATAATTGAAGGTCCTCCTGGACCGCCTGGTGCCCCGGGTAAGTTTACCAATGTTTTTTATCGTTAATTTTGTTTGAGGTTTAACGTGTTTTTTGTGATTGATAATGTAAATGATTAATTCTAGTAATGTTAAAAGAAACTAGTGGAAAATTAGTAGTGTTAAAAGAAAAATTTGGAAACTTGCAACAAAATATTAAAAATGCATTACTGAAATTTGATTTTTGGAAAGAGTGGATATTGTCAAATATTGATCAAAATTTATTTGTTACTATTACTTTATTAATAATTTCAATGGCATTTTGTTTTATATAGAAAGAAAAAGGTGTTATTAGGTTATTTCCGGAAAGGTGTTTTATTTGAACTTATTTCCATTTATTATTGATAATAATAATATGTTAATTAAAATAAATAAATAAGTTATAATTGATGCAAGTCTCCCATGGTTTTCTAAATTTCTTGTTTTTATTAATTGTTGTAATTTTTTTAAATATTTTTGGCATGTTTCAATTTTTGTTTATAACGAGCAATCTTAGTTAACATTGTTAGATGTAGCAATTAACCTGCTGCTTTTGTGTAGTGAAACAAGTAATACTTTACTATTTATTTTAATATGCACTAGCAATAACATATTTTCGCTCAAATTACTTGAATAACGTGGCGACATCCAGATATCGGGAATTACAATGAAATATCCCAGCGCACAACCGTGAGAAAAATTGTATGCGAACATACTTCTGTAACGATAATATTTGTAAAACTAAATTACCGATTTTGGTATGGCATGGTTGTATAATAAAAAAATCCAAAAGAAATTACTTTCTACTGGTTCTGGAATGTAGGGGTAGAAGGTGCGCGAGGTCCGAAAGGAGACGCGGGTCCTGAAGGGCCAACAGGGCCGGCCGGCGAGAAAGGGGCCCGTGGCAAACGCGGCAAACGGGTAACGTACATTAAAAGTCTGGTAATGATCGGGTTTGAGATGATACAACTCGATTCGGGAGCTAGGGGCTTGTTGTAACAGTTTTTTTTTAATTAACATATCTTGAGATCCACTTATTATATATGATGGGTACATGCTGTAACTACTCTTCTACCGTATCAAGTAAAAATAATTCAATAACTATTGTTCATTATTTCACAATTGATCATTTTGTAGAAAAAAGTGCGGTATTACAACGTACCCCATGTTTGGGGCCAGTTGTAACATCTACCGGGGCAAGTAGTAACGTCAAAAAACGACAATTATACCTTTGATAATTTATAATTTGCTTATTTTTGAGAAAATTAACAGGCTTAAGTAAGTAATTCTTCTCATAAATCAACGAAAACTAGAACACAGGTCTAAATAAGATAAAATAAAAGAAGTTGTCTGTATTGAGTGTGCAGCATATGTTTTCAAATGTAGTGTTTACCGCTGAATACGTATCTAAAGTCAAAATTAAGGGTTAATGCCAAGAATTAAAAAAAAACTTAAAGAAACGACAAAATCTGCGACCTAGTAATTCTTCTGCATAATAATCAAAATCTCACAATTCTGCCATTTCATGGCCCTTTTTATCTTACATGACTATTGAGTTTCAATTAAATGATCAATGGGTTTTTTTTGTATAATTTAGCAGTAATTTTCAAACATATTTCTACCCTATTGCCCTGGGTAATTTGCAATCAAGTTCACAATTTGAATATCTGAAAATGTGTTGACAAAATATTTCTGTATTCTACAAAAAATATTAATAGATTATTTAAGTGAATACTCAAGTCATTTAAGGTAAAAAGAACCAGAAAACGACAAAAATTATAAGATTTTAAGTACCACTGAAAAGAATTTTGTAATTTTTTTAAATTTAAAAAGCCTGTTACTACTTACCACTGTTACAATAAGCCCCTAGCTCCCCTACTTTATATGTCGCAATTAGTACAAAGTGAAGTGAAACTAAATTTAATTACAAAACTATTTTTATCGAAATCAATATTCTTATTACAAACACAAATGATTTACATAGTCTAAAATTTAATAAAAACATTCTTGATATTTTGAATGCAATAAAGTTATAATTCACTATACATACATTACATGTAAATGATCAACAATTTTAATGCGAAAAAATTAAAAAATCTGAAATTGAGCAATAAATTTATATAAATGGTAAAAAACATACGTTTCAAACTTCAACAAATCATCAGTAAAATTTTAGTATATTTTTCAAATACTTTTTTACTTTGTACCAATTGTCGATTTTTCTCATATCTTGGAGATGTCGGAATGTGTATGAACGATTACAAGAAATGAAAAATAATTATTATAGCATGGTACTTGCTCGGAACATGAAGAATGTTACATTTGAACGATATTTCAAAAAAATGAAAGTGAATGAATTATATCTAAATTGATAAATTTGCTACCTTCTACATAGTATTCTTGCTCTTCGTTACATCTGATTACATCTTTACAATATTTATTCGCCTTTTAAATTTATCGCGAAAAATGGATGTTGGTTGACTATTGCATGAACAAACAATTCAGTCATTGGGAAATTAAAAAAACACTGATATAGAATCATAATACCAAATTTAAAATATAAATCAGCAGTCATAGTAACTCGATTTTGACTACTAATTTTTTTGCCTTGAACATAATAATATGGTGATGATGCAATAAGATGTTATAAAGTAAATTATTGGAAACCTAATTAGAAATTCTATTAATATTTGTTATTGTATATTTATTTTGCATATTTAATATTTTTTCTCATCTCTTAAAAAGTTCTCAAAAAATAATTATCCAACGCCACAACAATTCGCATTTTACCTAGAAATGCATCAAGCAAGAAATTACATTGTTGCTGTTTATAATCACAGTACAAAATTTTCGTTTTACATTTTTTTATTTTTTTTTTTTTTGTTTTTGACCAAACTTGTTTACAAGTTATATATCATACCTAAGCAAAAATTCAATTTATTCTTATAATTGAGTTCATTTTTCTGCATATACTTTACAGTAATGGCTCTCCTAAAAAAATGAGTTTGAGTATGAGTATGAGTAGTATTTAAATTTGATAAATTGGATGACCTTGACCCATATTTTTGGAGCCATAAATCACTCTAAGTC